ATGAATGCACAGCCTCGACTTGCTGCTTGCACAAACACTATTCACCAGAACAGGGAACTCATTAGGACTGCACTGTAATGAGGAACCATCGTGGTGCTCAGCAGTGGGTTAATTGGGCCAGTGAGGGCAAGAGGAGCACTGTGTGTGTGTGTGGGGGGGGGGGGGGGGGGGGGGGAGGGGGGCAGTAAACAGATCTTATTCTTCCGGTGTTTAAGAACACACACCTCAATGCTAAAAATGAGAAGAAAATAAAACAAGAGGAAGTGGTGGGGCACAAAGACTTTTCTTTAAAGTAACTTTACCCGCAATAGGGAAAAGTCTCACACATGGTGGTAAAATAAAAATAATAAAAAATAAAAAGTTATTTTATTAACAACACCAAACTCAGGGAATTTCCATATTAATAGTGACTTCAGTCTTCAAGACTGACTGGAGCTAACCTGTTGCATGTTAAACAAGTTTAAGTAACAAATGTCTCCACTCAATGATTTAATGACGTGCTTTTATTGCAGAGCCGCTTGCAAAGTGTTTAATCTACCATTATATTAGAGGGAGACCCTCAAAATCAAGTTAATTTTCTATATAGCACCAGATTAGAGAAGTTACAGGTTATTTTATTAAACAAACTAAAAAGCCTCATGTTATTTATCTTTTATGCAACAACAGATCATTTCTGTTTATAGTCATGTCTTCTCTATCGTGCACAAAGAATTTCTGCCTAGATGTGGGCAAACGTTCCCCCTGGCTGTACAAGACTCATCTGGCAAGTAATTAAATACAAATGTTACAGAACAACATACAGTACACTACACTACACATGACAGTTACATGTGGACAGTTTGTTTACATCTTTACCTCTGACAGACTCCGCCTCTCTAAAAAGCTCTTTTTATTCCCAGTCCTCTGTGGCCAATTAACACTATTAACTGCAAAAATGTTTCTTACTCATATCACTTCCTTTACAGACTTTTGTTGCCACGGTCTCCACTTTTTGGATGTGTTGCCCTCAACAACATCAAATTTATCCAACAAAGTAAAGTCAGGTCCTCTGGACTGTTTCTTTTTGTTGACACGTTTCGTCTTTCATCCTGAAGACTTCATCAGCCCAAGGAGCTGCAACAAACTCAGTCTTATAAATAACACCTTCACATAATGGGTCAACCAGTTTGATGGTGCTCAGACGGTTTCTGGAGTCCGAGCTCCCCCCCCCCCCCCCAGACTTGTTTGAGGCAGTCATGGCCTTTTGGCCAGGATTTATCCACCTGGATTATTGGGCATGAATCTGGATGTTTTGAACCACTTTGGTCATGACTGCCTCAAACAAGTCGTTGGGGGAGAGGGCGGACTCCACAAACCATCAGAGCACCATCAAACTGGTTGACCCACTATGAGAAGGTGCTGTTTATTGCAGCTCCTCGGACTGATGAAGTCTTTTGGATGAAAGACGAAACGTTTCAACAAAAAGAAACCCTCCAGAGAACCTGACTTAACTTTGTTGTTTTATCTGGATTATCGATTATGAATCAGGATAATTTCAAGTTTATTTTCACTTAAATAAACAAACAGTACAATTTCTCACATATTTGAAATGTTTACTACATACAACTGTGTGAATCAAGTGTGGATTTATAAAATTTGGAAATCGCGACCTTTATTTTGAATTTAAATTTTACAATATTATGCACACACACATTGTTTCATAGAACAAATACAACATTACAAGATGAAAATGAGTTGAAGTGCATGGAAAATATGTTTTTTAAATCCTAACATCACTAACGGCATTGGTGAAGAAAGAAATAACTACATCCTATGGTCGAAGAATGTCTCTACAACTAAACTCCCAAAGCCCTAAAGGGACAAATTGCTTCTTCAAAGAGTAGAGGACACCAGGACTTTACTGTGACCTCCACTGATGAGGATGATGAGTGTGCAGCCTAAAAGGAGTCTGTTTAGGTCCCAGGCTCTATAAAACCCATGTAAGAGCTTCCTGTAGCAACGATGGGGCAGAGGAGCCTCCTACAGAACAGCCACTTCAAACACCGCCATGTATTCCCTTTCCCCCGTGGGAAGTCATTATTGAGTTAGCGTTGGAGAGGCGCGCTTGTTTTCTCTCCCCTCCCTGGCTCTGTGGTGGGAGAAGCTCTGCTTGTGGTGAACACAAAGGCTCAGTCCAGGAGGGGGAGGGATAATGTTGTACACAATCCAGTCATTACTACACCGCTGTTGTGGCTTGCCTTCATTAAACTGTGGAGGGACGGCTTTTTCAAGGTTGGAAAACTTCTGGCGAGACAAAGACGCCCCCATCTGCCAAAGCCTTTGTGTGAGAATGGGAAGAGAGAGTGTGTTTGTGTATGTGTGACGTTTGAATCAAAGTTAAATTACAGCCTTACATTTCTTTCATCCTGCTTGTTTTCACCGAGCGCAACTCATTTACAGAGTCTGAGTCTGCACTCTTGAAAACAAGTCATATAAAGCTTGTCCTCAGACGTATAAATCAGTGTAATATAAGCACCAGAGTGCCTCAGAGCGACTCGTAAATGCTTCAATCACAAGCTGAAGGGGATAAAGGCTGCCAACTGGGAGACACGGTCATTCAGTGCGACTGAATAATGGAGCAGTCAGAAACACTGATAAGCATTCTAGACATGGGAAACACAAATGTTTTTACCTAATGAGACAGTATTCAATGTCAGACCTAAAGCTGGCTCAGAAAAGTCACAGAAACTCTGAAACATCAGTGCAAAGTTCAAACAGCTGTGAAAGTACCTGTCGTGAGCAGACGATGTTTGGGGAAAACATCTTGGTTTTTGGAGTAAGCTGTTGGGGGAAGAATCAGTTTTGTTGTGTGTTTCCTTGACTGATGAAGCCTTCTGGATCGAAGGCGAAACGTTTCAGCACAAAAAAAAAAACTGTCCAGATGACCTGACTGAAAATTGTTGGATTGTATACCTGGATTATTGAGCATGGACTTCAGTTTGACACGACTGTCAACAAGGAAGA